TTCAATTTAACATCCAAGTACAGTACATATTTATTTTATTATTATTATTATTTTTTTAAATAATATTAAAATTTATCTGATTATATCCTACAAGAAATACTTTAAAAATAATATAATATATTGCATAATAATAAAATTATAAGCATTTAGAAGGAAATTTATATAGTAAATTTAACGGTAAATTATTATCCCAAGTGGCGATAAGTTCTTTTCACCGTTTATAGTGGATATTGTGGTCAGTAAAGGTGACATAAAGTTAAGTTGAGTAACGTGTTTCGATCTTCCAGATTACACGAATTTAATTAAGAGCACAAGAGTTGGGGAGTTAGTCGGGAGGGAATAATTACTGCAATTACTGACGAAGACTCTTCTATTCGCTAGTATAGTTAACTGGTCTTGAGACAACCACCTGACTAGTTTTGCAATTACTGTCACGTGAAGTTCCTTTAACTGAAGGTAAGTTAGTGGAAAATACGTATAAATATTTGAAGTTTCTGTGTATATTTATTACTTAAACAAAGTGTTCTTCGTATCTACACGATGTATTTGACATTTAGTGATGATAAAACATTCTCGCATTAGTAGAACGTAATGTTATCTACTCTTTATTTTTTGTTTTTTTTTTGTGTGTGCGCGACTTTCAAGGAATTTTTATCACGTTCCATAATGATATTAGCGTTGTTACCTGATTTTTACGTGGGGTGAATTGATGACGAAAACAAAATAAAATAACCTGGAAAGTAATTATGTATTTTCTTTCTTTTTTCCCCCTTGTTTTAACCAAATATTTATGCTTTGTATATTGTAAATATTTATATTTTCTGTACGTTTAAATTATTTATAATTAATTAATAAATATTATAAATTGTTTGTAATTTTCTGCTGTATTGTGGAATAAATAATTGAAATGATGTATGATTTAATATTCTTCGAGAGAAATGCCCTGTTTGGAATATTATGAAGGTTGCGACGTTTTGGAAAGAGTTTATTTATTATTATAAATCAATAATGAAAATTGTAATGAAAATGTTATGAAGGTTGAATTAGTTTAGTTCTGATATATTATGTGAAGATTATAAAGGCAGTAATCCATGTTTTATAAGTTGGACTGATGTTTGAAATTAAAGGCGCTTTCGGGAATAAGAGGCCTTCACAAATACTCCTGAATATTTGTGTATGTTTGTTAGATTTACATAAAAGAAATATTACATACAAACTTATTCTGATGCTTCTTAACATTATACTGCATGTTTGTATGTATGTATGTACACACATGTATATATACAGCTGCTTATTATGAAGGAGTTATAAACCTGAAAAAGAAAATTATAAAATCTTTTATTAAGGAACGTTATGCATAAATTATTATTTTTAAATGTTAAAAGCATAGAATAAACTGAAAACTGATGATTAAATTATTTTTCAAGAATGATTTTGTTGTTATCGAAACCAAAACTAGCAGAATGGCTAGCGTACGCTAGTTCCACACTTTTGTTTATGAGCTGAAAAATACACGAATGTGCGAATTTGACGAATGGAAAAGCGATTTAGGAGCACAAAATCGCTATAGGGGACGTCTATCAGGCGTACAGTTTAAGGGGAAATTGGTGGCAAAAAGTACATTATTGTATACAATGGGGGAATCGAGGCATTGTCTACGTGGACTTTTTTAGTGGCATACAAATTTGCTCCTTAAATCTTTTGAATAAACTATCAGTTAGAAAATATTTACAGAGCTTATTAAAGACATTTCTTTAATATCAGGGTTCATAAACTCTTTTTCAAGTAATTAAAGGGGGAGGGTAATTTGATAAACGTACACTATTGTACACAACAGAGAAGGAAAGGATTATAAGTGACTAAAAAACTGTACACATAATTAACGGTTGGCTCCATATTCAAAGTCCGAACTGTCCAATAGTTGAGTAATGTCTACATTTAAAATATTGGTATATATTTAGTACTGTAATTATATTATCGCATGTTGTAGTAAGCAACAACACGAGAGGTAACATCATTAGATATAATACTCCACAAATATAGGTTCCTGTTTTGTAAGTAAGACTATTTATTCCATTTCAGTTACTTTAAAAAAAAAATGCGGATAGTAAATCGTCATCTTTTATTCACTCTCGATAAAATTTTTCACCAACATTTATCATAAAAATGATTGATATATTACTTTAAACTCACTTCACTATCCTCGAAATGGAATGGAATTCTTGAATGAAACATTAAGAAACAATATAAAGACAGCTAAAAGATTTAGATAGAATGAAAAAACAAATATTATTATTATTTTTTTAAATAATATTAAAATTTATCTGATTATATCCTACAAGAAATACTTTAAAAATAATATAATTTATTGCATAATAATAAAATTATAAGCATTTAGAAGGAAATTTATATAGTAAATTTAACGGTAAATTATTATCCCAAGTGGCGATAAGTTCTTTTCACCGTTTATAGTGGATATTGTGGTCAGTAAAGGTGACATAAAGTTAAGTTGAGTAACGTGTTTCGATCTTCCAGATTACACGAATTTAATTAAGAGCACAAGAGTTGGGGAGTTAGTCGGGAGGGAATAATTATTGCAATTACTGACGAAGACTCTTCTATTCGCTAGTATAGTTAACTGGTCTTGAGACAACCACCTGACTAGTTTTGCAATTACTGTCACGTGAAGTTCCTTTAACTGAAGGTAAGTTAGTGGAAAATACGTATAAATATTTGAAGTTTCTGTGTATATTTATTACTTAAACAAAGTGTTCTTCGTATCTACACGATGTATTTGACATTTAGTGATGATAAAACATTCTCGCATTAGTAGAACGTAATGTTATCTACTCTTTNATATATATATACAGTTTTGTATAAGGTAACTTGTTTCGCTGTCTTCAGTTTCCGTCATTACACGTCAAATGACGTATCAACTGATTTTACAAATGCTCCGTCATCAATAAAAAATGTGAAAGTAACCCGATCGTGTCAACAAAAGCTAAATTCAACAAACGGAAGCGTAGTTGAGGAAGAAGGATAGAAGAACCGAATATGAAAAATGTCTTCTGTCGTCTAGTTTCGTGTTACTTTGTTGGATATGTTAGATCTGTTTACAATATTTTACTATCAAGTTTTCTTAAGAGTAATAGAAAACTGTGATTCTACCGTCAATAAATAGTAAATAAAATGAGTGAATTTAGATCACTTCTACTTTCTTTTCGAGGATTTATCAAGCTTGATTGATATAGAAAGCTAAGCAAATTTATTGTATACTTCGTCTTCCACCCCTCTGAATTATATCTGTAAAATTTACTTTTTACTTTTTTTCTCTTCTTCTTCTTCTTCTTTTGATAATATATATGAAAAAATTGATTATACGCATGAAAATAAATATTAATAACCTTTAATTTTATTACACTCTACTCTCCTTTAATAATTTAAGGTGAAGTTTAGAAGTTATAATTAATTTTACATACTCAGTTTGGATTTACATAATTGGAACTGATAGATCTATATTATTAGGTAAGTAAGAATCATCGCCTAACTTACATGTACGTGAAAATTTTATTTAATTGCTAAACTTGCTCCAAAAGTTGTTTAAAAGATGGAGAAAGTTTACCTCAACCGCTCTATATTAGCTTTCTATTTACCTTTAATATGGAGAAGATCATATTTTATGCTGCTATAATTGCACTAAAAGTAACAACAACAAAAAAAAATTAGTTTTATTTTAAATTCGCTGGGAGGTCCAAAAATCAGTTAACAGTTGCAGAGACTAAATCACTACCTTATTCAAATACTTTAATCATATTTAATTTATATTACGATTCGAACTCTCAAGAACAGAGAACAAAACTCGGTTAACTGATTTTTGGACCACCCTTTAAGTGACATATTAGACAATTTTTTTTTCTACACTAAGATAATCTTTATATATATTAAATAAATGCAAATATTTTAATTAATGTTAGCTAAACTTAAAATAACTTTTGCAGAAGTTGAAGTAATTTCTCGCTTTTAAATCACAATATAAATATTATATAAACAATTTCTGACTTTTACACTGGAGATAATTCATATAAATTAGTTAATAAAATCTTAACTTGAAAATTTTCGAAAGCGAGAAAGGAAAATATTAAGCAACACTACACACACATACACATAATCTAATTTTAACAGCTTAAGTAATTTTTAAGAAGGTGAGCAACAAAAATTGCTAAGGAAAACACGTATCCCACACTGTTTAAAATTTATTAAAACATTAATTACTAGGTTATGTATGAAAAAAAAAATTTAAAAATAATAATAATAAAATAACTCGCTTAATCTCCCTTCCCTGAGAGAATTACTCGATAAATGAAGAATGTTTCATTTATATCTTAGGGGATGGAAAGAAAGTAAGAAGATCAAGAAGGGTCTAAAAAAAAAGAAAAAAAAAAAAAAAAAGAGGATTCCAAGTTCTGAGATCGCAGACCGGTCGGAAATGAACCGGAAACGTAAGTGAAGAAAAATCGATGGGGTCGACGTGATTTAGTACCAGTGGGTCCATTAACTGCACACACCTACATGCAAGCATGGAATCATTAACGTGTATTTGTGTTTATATACAGGTATTTCTTTCCCTCGATCACTTTTTTTTAAGTCATATCTAATCCCCCCTCTTCAGTGATGATTAATTTACTTTCTTACGCGTACTTCCGGTCTACCAGTTGGACTATCGGAAGTAGATCGGTTTGTTCTACTATCTTCTTTTTCTCTTCTTCTTCTTTTTAATTTTTTTAAAGCCAGATCTCGTGATTAATTACAAGAGTTGTTAATGACTGTGACTTTTTTTTTTTTTGCATATTTGCTCTAAAAAAAAAAAAATTCATCTTAATGATAGGTAGTCTATAATAGTAACATAAGTTATTAATAACAGCGTTTTTTTTCGGTAAGAAATCACTTACTTATAGAAAGAAATGGTAATATGAGGAATTCTTTAAAAGTTACACGTTTGCAGTAGTCGATATCATTTATGTAATTAAAAAAAAAAAAAAAGGTAAGAGGAATTATCTGAGTACTTAGTTCAACGATTTCATTTTATCGACAATCAATGAAGTAAGTGACAAAACTTGTGCAATTTGTCATCACTCCTTCCTATCTGACTTGACAGGTGAAGCAACGAAGAAAGTTGGGACGTGCCAATTATAAAAGCTTTTTTTTTTTTTTTTTTTTTCAAATTCATAAACACAACCAGAAAGTAGATATCGCATATTTGGAGTATGTTGTTATGTTTGAAAAGATTGATTTAATAACAATCCATAATTCATTGACTTGTAAGACTGTAGGGTGTGCTTTTCTTCCCGAGCTTAGAATATCTTATCATCACGTTAAGTACAATTTACGTAATTATGTTTAAGTATGGAGTGAATTATATTTAAACACATTCAATTAAATATAGACTTATTGTATAGATAATGATAAAAATTCGTTAATTAATTTTCTGTAAAATCTTTTTTAAGAAAAGAAACTGTAAAATGTCGACTTTTAACCAATTTAGAACCGTTAAATATCCATTTTCTCTTGAAAACACAAGATAGTCCAAAAATCAGTTAACCGTAAATTGTTTTCTTTTTTGTATGTGTTTGTGTTCCAGAATGCTTTGCGAATAACAATTCTGAACCGCGTATAAAACAAATGAAATTGGTAGAAATTAATTGGTTAACAATGTGGTTAACTGACTTTTACACCATCCCACATTATGCAAGTTCCAATTTTTCTTTAACACTAGTGATGCGCACCGAAAATGTTAAAAAATGTTAAGAAAACTCAAAGAAAAAAAGTGTTTTTTTTTTAGTAAAGAATAAAGAATAAAAGTTTAATTTTAGCTTTTTTTTTATAGTTAAAAAATCTAAAATTATCTTCCAAACAAGTTTCACAATCTTTAATATAAGGATTAAGTCTTTATCTCGAGATGTAGTGGTTATTTTCTTCCGTCGTAACAACACGAACTCCAAGTTAACATCTTTAAATTAAAGGTTTGAATCTTTAATATCAGGATTAATATCTTTCTTAACTCGAAGCTTAAATTTTATTAAATATTTACGAAAATAGCATTTAGTATTATCAAGATCCTCATAATGCTCAGTTCTAGTTAATGTTTATCCATGATAAACTAGAATCGAAGTTAATGAAAGATGAGGAAAAGGATGGAAATTAAAATTAATTACACTTTTAAAAAAATGATAATTTAAAATTGTTTTTTTTTTTAAATAAATAATTATAATATTTTAACGCTTACGAAACTCTAAGCATCGTCGTGTAAATAATTAACTCGATTAATATCTGGGTAGCATCACTAGTCTATGTTTAAACATGTCGTCGAAGCTAAGTGGCTTTATCAACGTCGAATTATTAAACCTAGACCAGGTGCACATCACTAAATATCAATATTAATTCGAGAATTTCATCGAGTTAAAATTATGCGTAAAGAAACTCTTACGTAGCATCAACATCAGAATAATAACTAGTCATAGGAGATTAGTAGACTAATATCCGACGTTACTGAATATTAAGAGTATACGTTTTACAATATTAACGTAGAGAAGATAGAGAGAGAGGGGGGGGGGAGAAATTCAATCTATTAAAAGTAGCATCAAGGAAGAAAGGGGGAAGAAAATAGGATAAAAGTTTTCGATATAGTTTTCTGTAAACGGGAGATTAGAACTATCTTTCGATAGCAAAGTTCTTTCTAATTGGACCACCTTACAAGCGTTAATCTTTTCTCCGACGAGAAAATAAGAACCATCTATTAGAAGCTCATTTTCGGACATAAGAGATTGCTATCTTGGGACTAGACATCCTTCATGTTATGGATTTTAACCGTTAGAGGGAGCCACGCCGATGTCCCCTCCACTTTCTTAATCTGTGTCCTCTGCTCTTCTGAGATAGAGAATGCTGATAGTTCCCGTGACAACGTTCTGTCTACTTGACGGATAGAACACCAGGTGTAACTAGATAGCTTCGGCATCAAGCGTTTTTTCCCTCCCCCTCATACATCGCCAAATTTGTATTCTGATGGATCTTACACTTTCCTTAATGTTTGCATTAAATTAATTAGTCGTAAGAATTTTAGTTTAGTAAACTTTAAAATGATTAATTAACTCTAATTATAAGTTTATTTTTAAGATTTATTTACGTGTATTTTTTTTTCTAATTTATGCTTCAAATTAAGACCCCCCCCCGTTCGATGTANTATTACATGAAAGTTTAGTAACAATCAATATTTTTTTTTCTACAGAGAAAAATATAGTCTTTTTTTTTCTTTCTTTACTATTATTAATAGCATTTTAAACCGATTTATAAATTAATAAAAGGGTTTAAATAAATGATTTTTTTGTAATCCTATCTATAAGAATGAGTTACGGATTCATTACACTAACTCTTACGTGTCCTTAAAGTTGTTAAAGCTTAATAGTACAGGCATTAAGATCTGTACAATTTATCATTTCCTTTGAGACATTTTGTATCTCACTTATAACTTATAAAAATTAAGCTGGATGTACAAATAACAGAGGTTATAGTTGGTAATCCCGCAGCTGTCGTTCCTTTAAGCTCGCCGATTGTACAGACACCTACTTCGACGTCACATTCTTGTCTAAAAGGAATGACGCGATCGTCACGTAATCCTTGACACTCTCTCCGGAAAGACCAGATGTCGTCGACGACCTTTGACTTTCATTCGACTTGATTTCTGACATACTTACTCCCCAAAATTTATTCCATCCCACAAATCGTTTTTGTTTCCGTTTTTCGCAGATGGAACTCCTATAAACGTATACTAAAAAACGAAAATAACTCATTATAATTCCAGTTTCGAGTTAGAATATATTATTTTAAAATGCGACTATAGTTCAACGGGTAAGATCTTTTATGATTTTATAGTGTTATAAAGACGTAATACTCTTTTAAAATTCCGAAACAAAAGAGTAAGACCTTTAAAAAATAAAAAAATTGAAATTTTATTTTTAAATAAATACAAAATATAATAATAAAAATAAATTAATTTTATACAATAATAAATTTTTTAAATCGTTTAATAAAAATAACGGTAATAACTCTCAAGAGATGGTGCCAGCATCGAGCGCCATGTTTTCATAATTAAGCATTTCACCATTTTTATCATTAATGATTTTTTTCCCCTTTCCCCCTTTTAATTCGTGTTAAATTATTATAAACTTGACATTTATTGTTGAAAATTCCGTAACGTAATTATAAAGGAAAAGTTATTACAGGGTTAATTATTATTATTTTAATCCTAATTAGTCGTTTTGAGGGGATATATTAGGAAATATGAGGGATCATAGCTGTCAAAACACGTGACAGGAAATGACGTATCAAATTACAGGAAACAGTAGGGGGACCATATATATATAATGTTTGACGGAAACAGATGTTTTTACCGTGTTTGGGTCATCCAAGGAAAAAGAAAGATTTAGTAAGACCTCTACTCACCTATATCTCTTGCTATGCGTGTTGAAAGAACTCCTAGTGGACACAGAAAGTAAAAGAAAGAAGGAAATGTTGCAAAGATTCATTGGCTGTCAACTTACAGCCTGCAATTTAGTCTTTGCTACCGGTCTTTTTTAACATATTCTCTCCAACAGTATTCTATGACAAAATAAATAAATAAAACATTTTCTTCTCTTTTTTTTCTTCCTCTTCTTCTTCTTCTTCTTCTCCTTTTAATCTGGGTTCTTTCATAAATTGACAAGACAACAATTCTAAACACTATAATCATAAATCAATATTTTTATATATTTTTTTTCCCTCTTGTTTTGATATAACTGTCGTTAGTTGATTAAAGAAATTTTTGATTCAACCGCGTGTAACTCGATGCTAATTAAATTACATAGATGATTTTAATAGTTGATGAAGTAATAATAAAATTTATATAAAGTTTCATCGTTTCAGTGCTTGTTTTGAATAATAATATTTCTTCAGATTTTTTTTTTTTTATGTAAATTTGTAAGAATTATTTATAAATTTCAGTGAAAGAAAAAAATATATTTTATTCCTTAAAAACAAAATATATAATTATGAAAGTATAAATCATTAAATTTTTAATCATGACAACCCATAATTATTTGAGTTAATTCAAAAGTTTTTGTAGTATACAATTTCTTAACATATGGCACAAGAATGAAGTCTAATAAATATATATATATATAATTTATTATATAGAATATTTGACGAATTGTCCTATTTTTTACCTACGCGAAAGCACGGGGATGTTAACCTTCACACTAGTGACCCAATGAGGCTCAAAAAGAGATTTTATAAGTTACCTCGCGGCGTAGTCAGTAGCAAGTAATCATGATGTCACAAGTCTGACAAAGTGTGGGAGGAACTGCAAAGTGGTAATCTCTGCAATCTGGGTTCCACCCATTTGATTCTCATAGTTGGTAATTCGTTATTACACGGCCTTTATAAGTTAAATGTAAGTTTTGAACTTTTTAATTTACTCTGAAATGAACTAGACCTTTCTCTAAGTATATAGGTAAGGTTTTGATAGGCATTTCATGACTTATGTGTAGGTTGACAAAATGGATCCGAGCAACTCGAGAAAACTTAAACCTTGTATATTTTATTATTATTTTTATTTTTAAACGTTTTTAATGGTAAAAATGTTTAAATGGTGACTCATCTTTCAGAGATTAGCGACATTCGGTGACAATGAAGAGAGGTCAAGATGTATATGATAAGAAAATTAAATCCGAATTCTTGATTGAAATACTCATTCATATAAGTGTCATGTCTTATCGTTTCTGTACACCTGGAGAGATTAAAATTTACTTTATTTGTCTTTGTTTAAAATTCTTACAATGACCTTTTAAGAATTTCAAAGTTGAACAGATTAAAATTTCCATGTGACAACTTATTGTTTATTAATATTTATCGTCTAATGTGGTATGCTTTAATTGAATATTTATCTGGAAATTTAATTATTGTTCGTAAATCGTCTCTCGATGCTTAAATTTATTCATTAGTGAAATGATGTCACATTTACATCCGACAACGTGACAACATGCAGAACGAGAAGATTCCAAGAAAAGAAAAGAAAGAAAATCTTAAGAGCTATTTTTGAATTGGAAATTAGTTTTATGCATTTAAAATGAAATTAAAAAGTGTAATTTTTTTTCCTACACTTTTACAAAAATATATGAATGAATAATTAATAATAATAATAATAAATCATTACTTTATACCTCCATTAAAAACTTTCAATTTAATTTAATACTGTTTTTAATTATTAAAAATTAATTTACAATTCTGTAAATATAAATAATACAGTACCGATTTACACAGGTTTTACTATAAGTTAGTATTTCTTATATTTAAATTAGACTATTCTATATGTATAGGCCTATATATTATGTTGTATGTCAATAGAATAATAATAGGCCTACATATTAATATGAGAAACTTCAATTACACTTCTATTTTTAGGTATAAATCTATATAATTAACAATTATAAGACAAAAATTAGATTGAAATTAGCTCTTGAGCTATACTAAATACATGTAAAGTGTATATATATATATATTTAATATAGCACAAATAATATGAATTTATTGTATCTAAAGAATGTGTTACATGATCTTGATTAATGTTATTCAAACTTTCGATTTCCGAATATAATTTACAATTATAGCATGAAATCTTAACTTTCATACGATACAATCATTATGTGGGTAATAGTACACTACCACGCAAATTGAAGATAATAATATGCAAATAAATATGAACAAATACTATAAATTAATGATGAATAACATCAGAAAGATAATGATCATTAATTAATTATGATATTTTTTTTATTGTTTAAAAGTATATTTCGGTAGAAAAAAAATAATTCGAAATAAACAGTAAGCAACTAATAAAATATGTAGGCCATCGTGTATATTTTAAATGTGTGTGTTAATACTTCATTTTCAAATGATAAATTAAATTAATATAGGAATGTAAATTAAAGTAAATGTAAGAAATTTCAAATTCTAAACTGATTTTTTATTTTTTTATTTTTTAAACGTTGAAATTTAATCACAGTTTAATGATAATTTTCTAAGTTACTCCTAATTAAACTTTTAATCGAAAAATTAATTTCTGAAAATTTAAATAGGAAAAATTTTTATATTTTAATCAATATAAATGATGTCGATATTGTTATATTTATAGCTTGTACACAATCCTGTCACTTAGAAATGATTTTTCGATAATCGATAGACAGAAATTACTTAATAACTAAATAGAAACAGGATAACTTGCTTGTGATTATTTCTTACGAGTTCTTTTAAATGAGGCTCTCGTTTTCTTTGATGATATTTCATGTTTGTATAGAATTAAGCAGAAATGAGAGCTCTCATACTTTTATTTTTTTTCTGATTTCTTGAGATCTACTTAAAGAAACCTCGTGTTTCTGACGCCAAAATTCAATGTAGACACATTTAATAGGCCTTCGTTTAAGAAAATAATATCCAACACGACTGTGTTTTTTGATATCTTAAAGATTAGTTGTAATATTAATCCCACTAAAGAAGACGAGAATGCTAATAGTTTGGCTTACTTATGCTTATATAGGATAATATTAATAAGATAATAGGCGAAATTCTATATATAAAGAGTCATTTTACTTTCTCTAATAGAATTAGATGTAAAAAAAAATCTATTATTATAATGCTACCCACGAGTACATTAAAAAATATCATATAAATAAAGATCTTCAATATTTCTGAATTTAAACCTTATCATTTTGTTAATAAGTAAATAATCGATACTTTAATTATTTCTTTGTAATTAAAATTAACTGGAAATAATATATATATATATATATTTTACTTCAAATAAAGTATTTAAAGTTTCGAACATAAAACACTTTTCCTCGAGATTTTTAATCAATAAATTCTATTATCAAATCTTAAGATTAACATTCAAATACAGTATTTACTTCTTATTATAAAGGAAAAATATTTGAAAATATGGATTACCAACTGAATTATCTAAATTTAAATTAGTAAAGTGCAAATATGACTTTATCTCAGTTATGATTACTTTACATTCTCTTCTACATTCTTCATTACATGGCTAATGAAGAATATAAATGTAAATTTTCACTGGATCTAAAGACCAAATCCATGCTCAATCATGCAATGTCTTTTAATTCACTTAGAGAGCTTTCAATTCAATTTTCCTAAATATTCTTGTGTCATTTTCTGTTAGCTTAAGTAATTGTTATGCTCCATTGTTATCTACGAATTTAAAAAAAAAACGTGTAATTCATAAACAATTATTTCAAATTTAAATATTTATAAATAAATAGAAGAGTGTTTTTTTTTAAATAATAGGCCCTATACATAAATAATAATTTTTTTCTATATTTATTATAATTTAAAGCCGATGTAAATATAATTGAAAACTTGAATAATATGAAAAATATTCTTTATTAAATTTAACAATTGGAAAGTTTTATTTTAAAAAATATATATATAAGATTACCGTGAGCATCATAAAATTTAATTATTTATCGTAGGGAATTTTTTTAAAGTAAAAGATTATTGTATTATTTTAGGAAGTGGCAGATTAATAAATTGTTTTCTTTAAAAAATCCTCATTAAGTAAAAAAGCCTGAGGAA